GGCGGAGCGGGGTCGGGGCCGAGCTGGCGTGGGGTGGGGGGGGGGGGGGGGCGGAAGCCGGAGGAGAGGGGGCCCCGGAGGTGGGCTGTGCCTCTCCGCTTTCGGGCCCGTGGGCTCGGCGGTGCGCAGAGGGGGGCAGGGGGAATGGGGGAGGCTTTGTAGGAAGCACCCCTGCTTCTTGGAAGGCGCTGGCCTTACATCCACTCTACAAACAAGGCCTGCGCCTTCCAAGAAATCGGGGTGCTTCTAAGGAGCCTCCCTCCCTGCCCCTGCCCTCCTCTGCGCGTGGCCGAATTGCGCCCTCAAAGGGCCCCAGGACCGTCAAACAACGACTCGGGATGAGGAGCGATAAGGAGCTGGTCCCGAGGGAGCCCCGGGATCTAGGATAGAGGATAGAGGCCTCCCAAGTGGGGTCCGAGTAGACGCTGTCGGAAGATCGCGCCGCATCGCCGATGCATCGGCGACGCCAGCGAGGAGAAATCCGGCCTCCACATCAAGCCGCATCGGCGACGCATCGGCGATGCGGCGCGATCCTCCGACCCCACCTACTCGGACCCCACCTGGGAGGCCTAGATGGAACCCGCCTCCCTCAGGACCCCTCGTCTTTCATGGCGCGGAGAGCCCCCGTGCGAGCACGATGCCCGGCCCGCCACCAGGCGCAGAGTGAGAGCGGCAGTCTGGCTGCAGGCCTGGGACCACGTCTCTCACGGCCTGCCAAGGACGGACGGACGCTCACATGCGCGCTGGTGCGCGGTCCCTCTAGGAACGGAGCAGTGGCGGCGTGGCGCCGAGCTTTCGAAACAAAGCCGTATACGAAAGCTAGCAGTGCGGTGAGAGTGCGAGTCCGCCGACCCCTTGTGGGTCTCTAGGCGGGTGAGATAGTTTCCCCCCCCATAACCCCCCCCCTTAAGGGACCCCAAACCGGAGATTTGACCCCCCCCCCTCGCCCGGGACGAGCGCACCACGAAGCTTCTCCGGGCCCGAGAGGGCCTCAAGACAGGCCTAGAAAGCCCCAAGAGGCCTCCAAAACGGCCCACGAGGGCCCCGAGACGCTAAACGAGCGCTCCAAGACGCCCTAGCTGGCCCAAAGATGGGCTCAGAGGCCTCCAAGACGGCCCAAGAGGTCCCCAAGAGGTCCCCAAGAGGCCCCAAGAGGCTTCCAAGATGCGTCCCAAGAGGGTTCCTAGACGCAAAAAGTTTCCCATTCCCTTCGTAAAACATGCACTTTTCATACATTCGCCTTCTGGGCTTTCCGATGCTCTCAGACGGCCCAAAAGGACCCCAATACCGCCCCAAGACGGCCCAAAAAGCCTCCAAGAGGGTCCCAAGATAGCCCAAGCGGGCCCCAAGACAGCCCAAGAGGCGTCCAAGACGGCCCAAGAGGGCCCCGAAGATGGCCCCAAGAGCGCTCCAGGAGCGCTCCAAGTCGCCTCCCAGAGAGCTCAATATGGTCCCAGACGGCCCAAGAGCGATCAAAGACACCGAAGATGGCCTCCAGCGGTCCAAGATGCCCCCAAGAAGCCCCAAGAGGCATCCAAAATACGTCCCAAGAGGGCCTCTAACCGCAAAAATTGGCACGTTTCCTTTGTGAAACGTAGATTTTTCACAAAATCGCCTTTCGGGGGTTCCGACGCTCCCAGACGGCCGCAGAGGCCTCCAAGACCGCCCCAAGACGGTCCAAGAAGCCTCCAAGAGGGCCCCAAGACAGCCCAAGAGGGGCCCAAGACGGCTCCAGAGGTGCCGAAGACGGCCCAAGAGAGCCCTGAAAACTGCCCCAAGAGCGCTCCAAGAGCGCCCCAACTGGCCTCCAAGAGAGTTCCACATGGTCCCAGACGGTCCAAGAGCGATCAAAGACACCCGAGATGGCCTCCACATGGCCCAAGACGCCCCCAAGAGGCCTCCAACGTGCGTCCCAAGAGGGTCCCTAGACGCAACAATTGGCTCATCTCCTTCGTAAAACGTAGATGTTTTACACATTCGCCGCGTGGGCTTTCTGACGTTCCAAGACGGCCCAAGAGGTCCCGAAGACCGCCCCAAGACACCCCAAACAAAAAACCCAAGACGGCCCCACGACGGCCTCATATGGCCCTACGACGGCTCAAAAGCGCCCCAAGACGGCCCAAGAAGGCTCCCAGACGGCACCAAGAGGAGCCGAAGAGGGCGACCAAAAATTCAAAATTGTATTTGTCCGCCCCTGGGAGCCCCAGGGAGCCCGAAGAGTGCCCCAAGAGGCCGCCAGAGGCCCCCAAAGGCGGCCAAGACGCCCCAAGGAGCTCCCGAAAGGCCCCCAGGAGGCCTCCAAAAGACTCCCAGAACCTCCGAAACGGCTCCCAAGTGGCGTCAAAACTGCCTTCCAGAGGCTCCCGACAGGCGCGAGATCCCGATGCGCATACAAGAAGCCGCTCACCCGTAACCCATAACCCAGAGCCTCCTCTTTGTGCCCCTCTCCCCGTCCTTCTTCTCCCCCTCCTTCTCCTCCACAGCCTCCTCGCCCCTCCTCCTCCTCCTCCTCCTCCTCCTCCTCCTCCTCCTCCTCCTCCTCCTCCTCCTCCTCCTCCTCCTCCTCCTCCCCCGACCCACCAGCCGGAAGCTGTCGGAAGAGACACGAGGTCGACAGGCGGTCAAATTAGATCAGGCCTCGGCCCGTCCACGTATGAGATGCGGCGAGCGCAGAGAGGCCCCCAAGACGGCCCAAGAGGACTCCAAGACAGCACCGTGAAGAGCCCCAGAGGGCCACCAAAAATCTACAAAATCTAGCTGTCCGCCCCAGGAACCCCCGGGGGCACCAAAAAAGAACCCCTGGGGGCCCAAAAAGGCCCTAAGACGGCCCACGAGGACGCCAAAGCAGCCCAAGAAGAGCCCAAAGAAGCCCAAGAGAGCTCGAAGAGGAGCCCAGGAGTAGCCCGAACAGCCCCAAAGATACCCCCCTCAGGCCCCGAAGAGCTCCCAAGAAACCCGACAAGAACCCCAAAACGACCGCCAAACGGTTTCGAACCGTCTGATCATTGACTTCAATTAAGGGGTCGGCGGATGTGGCGTAAGCCTGAAGAATCAAGAGAGGACGGGGGAGAAGATGGAGAACGGACACGAGAAATAAGGACCTACATGCAGCAGAGAGGCGCTGATCGAGAAAGCTTTTGACTGAACAGGGAACTTTGTATCGGCAGTGCTGCTCGGATTCCAGGCCGCGGGAAAACTCGGGAGCGTGTGATGGCTGACGGACGGAGGGGCTTGTCCTGCGCGTGAGCTGTGCACGTGGCGCGCCGCGAGCCACAGTGGCACCCGCCGTGGCGACATCCGAACCCTACTCCCACCAACCATCGACCCTCCTGAATCCATGGGAGGCGAGGGTAGGGTTCGGATTTCGCCAAGTGTTCGACGAAGTCCGAGCCCCATCTCCGCCGGCCATCGAGGTGGCCTGAATCGTTGATCGGCGAGGGCAGGGTTCGGATCTCACCGCCAGACCGAGCGTAGCGCTGGGAGGCGAGGATGCCGGCAGACCTCCCCAGGCTGGGTGAGGCTCAGGAGGCGGCGCCACCACCGGAAAGCCCACTTCACCACCGGGGCGACGAGGCCACCCAGTCGCGCGTGCCTGCCTGGCATCATCGAGGGCCTGCAAGGTTGCCGAAGTCCGAGCATAGAGTAAGAAACAAATGCATAAACAGAAACTTGGGTGGGTCTGCGCGGATTTCTTCTTGGGTCGGCGCTGGATCCTCCTCACTGAGCGCGCCATGGAGGTCCAGCGCTGGTCCGAGAATCCGCGCGGAGCTCCGAGATCTCAGAGATCAGCGCGGAGCTCCAACTCCGAATGCTTGCGCTTAGAAAGGCCAGGGTTCTCTAGGGTCTGGTTTCCCCCCAGAACTACCCCAACCCTGTAGAAGTCCTTCCAGAACCCTGCGAAAAGCCTCCCGGAACCCTGCGGGGGAGGCTTTTCTGAGGGTTTCGGACAGGCTTCGGTCGTCTTTGGGAGAAACCAATCCCTAGCGAACCCTGGCCTTTCTAAGCTTACGCCGCTTCTTTTTGGCGGCGCCTCTTAGAAGGCGCTGGCCTTACACTCATAGGAAAGGCCCGCGCCCTCTAAGAATCAGCCTCCTTCTAAGAAGCCTTCCTCCCTGCCCGTACCCCCCTCTGCGCGTGGCCGATCTTCTCCCTCGAAGTGGGGCGGGGCGTCCCTGCGGCAGCAGCAGCCGAAGGCAGCAGAGCTGGCAGCGAAGCGGGTGGGCAGAGGCGGGAGCGCGGCGCGGAGCGGCGGCAGCGGCGGCGGCGGCGGGGGCCCGAGGCGGGAGGCAGGCGCTGGCGGCGGGAGGCAGCGAGGCGGGAAGCGACGCGATGCGATGCGACCACTGTTATGGACAGTGTCCGGGCCTAGCTTCGGGGATGGATAGACCTCCCTTCAGTAAAACGTTGTTTAGTGAAAACGACCTGAGGCCCAAACCTGGCGGGCGCAAGCCTGGAAAATAGCGGCCACGGCGCCCTCTCGAGAACCGAAAACAGACAATTCACTAAACGACAAGTCACTGTTGGGGGTTCTGTCCACCCCCGATAGCTCAGACCAGGTGGGTGAGGCCGTGGCCTCGAGAACCTGGCTGGTCTGGACACACGCAGTGCGAGGCACACACAAAATTAGGGGGAGAAGGGGCGAGGAGGCAGGCACCGGGGAAACGGGTCCCGAGGGAGATGGGTCCTGAGGCTTTTCTCGGGCGCTCGGGGCCCTCCACGGGCCCCGGGGACTGTCAAGAGAACGACTCATGATGAAGAACTGGTCCGGGGGGAAGGCCCTGGGGTCCACGAACCTGAGGGCAAAAACTGTTGGTCTTGGACCCCGGGCCCCTCCCCCAGGATCAGTGCTTCACCCTGGTGCGTTCTGTGACAGTCCCGGGGCCCGTGGAGGGCCGCGAGCGCCCGAAGACGGCAGACAGCCTCCGAACCCCTTGCCCTCAGGACCCGTCCCCCTCCGGAGCCGCCCCCTCTCCGTGCCAAGAGGAGGCGGGGCGGGAGGCCTTGAGGCCGGTCGCGCTCGCCTGCTCGTCCCTGGCCAGCTGCCGCCGCAGGGAGCCCGACGCGCTGGCGGGCGAGCCTCCCCGTGCCGCGCTCGGGGCGCGGCTCCCACGCGCCCCCCTGCCTCGCCCCTGCCCCCCCCTTCGGCGGCGAGCCCGGGGGGGAAGTGAGAAGGGGCGGGCCTTCTTAGAAGGCTCGGGAGCCCCCCGGCCTTCTGAAAAGGTTTCGCGGCCTGCCCCGAAGACACAGAAAGCCTCTCGGGAGGCCTCCGGTCTTCTAAGAAGCCCCGCCGCCTTCTGGAAGGCCGTCTCCTTCTCACTCCCCCCCCTCGCCCACCGCCGGCCCCTCTGGAGGAGCAAAATGCTACATAAGCCTAAACTTTCGGGGGTCCGTGCAGGCTTCTTGCGTTGGCACCAGAGCCCCTTCCCGGCGCGCGGAGCCCGCCAGGGGCGGCGCAAGAGGCGCCGCCAGGGGGCTCCAGCGCCGATCCGAGAAATCCGCCCGTACCTCATAAAGCCCATGCTTATGCCATTTTTGTTTCCACGACTCCCCTCCCCTCCACTACACGCCCTCACCCGCGTCCCCTCGGCTCCCACTGCCCCCTTCCTCGCCCCGTCCGCATCCTCCCCGCAGCGGATGGCGTGGGGGAGGGGTACCTCCTCTCGCTCACGACGCCGGGCTTTGCTACACCTTCGGCCTTCGGGGGCCCTGGCCAGGCCCGGGGGGCGCCTGGAACGGGATGACGAGGTGGCCCCAGGGAAGGGGTCCGGACCTTGCGGGGTCCGAGCTGTGAAACAAAGTACGGCGTCCGAGATCTGGGGTGGCAGAGGTGGAGGCCTCCCAAACAGGGCCAGAGTGGATGGGGCCACAGGATCGCACCACATCACCGACGTATCGCCAATGCATCGCCGATGCACCGACGACGTCAGGACGGGGAGAATCGGACTCCGCTTGGGGGGGGGCAGAGAGCAGGGCTGGAGGGGCCTCAGGGAGGCACTGGCCAAGCGGGGTCTGCACCAGCCAGGTGGTGCCTTCAGCAGCGGGCCAGGCCTCTCGGTTTGAAGTCATCACTCGTGCTCGGTGTCTTCAAAGCAACGAATGTCTGGAAACAAACACGATTAGCCACTTGGAATTCGGATTCACCATCACTTCTTGATCCGCTTGAACAGCCGTTGGAAATACCAAATTAAAACCACGGATGCCCACCAATGACGCCGAGCCATAGGATGAAGGATGGCGATGGCACCAATCGTGATGATAGACCATGTTGGGAACGATGATGATGAAAAAGGCTAGACGATGAGTGATGCCGATGACATCGACGGTTATGCTGGGTCACGCAGTGAATGGTGGCGACCGCGCTGGTTGTGACAATGAGTCGTGCCAGACATGATGATGGTGATGTGCTGATGCTGATGCTGATAATGATGGTGGTGATGTTTCTGCAGCTGCTGCTGATGATTTTGATTGCGCCACCATTACGGCCTGGAGGTTGAGAGGTTGTTGGTGTGCTCAAGGTTGCGCCCAAGTGGAACACAGATAGGTATGCACATAAACTCGCACTGGCTGGAAAGGCCGTGAGACCTGAAAATCCGTCTGCGGGTTCACGCAGTGTTGCGCTAGGCCTCGTAGTCTTCACACGTAAGTGCCACGACGTCCCTCCAGCGGCGGCAGGATGTTACAATCTTGCGTTGGAACTCCAATAAATTCGAAAACGCACAGGTTCCGGGCCTGAAGAGGAAGAGCTATTAGGTTTGAGGAGAATGCTTTCAGGCGTTAAAAAAAACGGAGGCCTGGAGATGCAGAGGTACTGAGGCGAAATTGCTCCCCTAAAGGTTCCCCGCTCGATTGCTTGTGCGAAATGCGCGGAAGCCCTACGGAGGCTCGGCCATGCGCGCTCGGACAGCTGGTGTAGACATCATTATGCTGGTGACAACACTGGTGGACTCAGTTCCGCATACTGGCGAGCGGGTTGAGACACCGCCCTGCTGGTGAAACCCTTTTTCTCGCAGGATGGGGCGAAGGTTTGCCCATTCTGACCGAGTATCGAAGATTGGTTCCAGTTCGGTTTCGGACCCCCGCGATTTTAAGATTTTTGAGCGAAGCCTCCTCCTCCTCCTCGTCCTCCTCCTCCTCCTCCTCCTTCCCCTTCATCCTATAATCCCCTCATCCTCCTCATCATTCTTCTCTTGCTCATCCTCACCCCTCCTTCTCCTCCTCCTCTCCTCCTCCTCCTCCTCCTCCTCCCCCTCCTCCTCCTCCTCCTCCTCTTCCTCCTTCCCCCTTCCAAGGGAAAACCATAACGTTACGACAACCCTGAGAAAACAACAAACCAACCACATAAACTGAATTGCTGGAGGCTGAAACTTTGGAAAACCCATGGGAACAACCAACAAACACCAAACAACACCAAAGATCACAGGGAAGACCCGTCCGAAGGGACCTCCTCCTCATCCTCCTCCTCCTTCTCCTCCCCCCTTCCAAGGGACAGCCATAACTTAGGACAACCCTGAGAAACACCAAAACACACAAGAAACTGAAGCGCTGGAGACTGACACTTTGGAAACACCATTGCAAACAAACAAAGTGTCCAAGCAATGCCTCCCGCCCATGAACCTCCCCTTTGGGGCGGACTGGTTTCCACGAGATTTGTTTTTTTGTTTGTTCCACTGGTTTTCGAACGTTTCAGTCTCCAGCGCTTCAGTTTCTTTGTGTGATTGCTAGGAGGAAGATAAGGATGGTGAGGAAGATGAGGATAAGATGAAGATTATCATGGATATGATGATGATGATGATGTTGATGATGATGATGATGATGATGATGATGATGATGATGATGATGATGATGATGATGATGATGATGATAATGAGGAGGAAGATGAGAATGTGGAAGGTGAGGATGAGGAAGATGATGATGCTGAGGAAGAATATGTAATATGCAGATAAGAAGGCGATGAAGATGATGATGAGGATGGGATGAGGAAGAGGATGACGATGAGGATGAGGACGATGAAGATGAGGAGGAAGACGAGGAACATGAGAAAGCGAGAGGCGCAGAGGACGAGGAGCAGGAGGAGGAGGAGAATATACAATATCAGGAGACAAGGAGACGAGGATGAGGAGAGGAGGGAGATGAGGAGGATGCTCCCCCCACCCCATCCACGGCTCCCCATGGCTCCCCCATGGCTCCCTCGTGGCTCCCCCCATGGCTCCCTCATGGCTCCCTCAGGCTCCCGCCTGAGAAGTCCCCCAAAACGCAAACAAAAGGAGGCTCCCGCCAGAGAGGTTCCCGATAGAACACTCTAAACGATGCTCCCGCCTGAGAGGCCCCAAAAGCACACAATTCAAAAACTTTGGGAAAACCATTGGAAAAACCAAAAAAACCAAAGAAACTGAACTGTTGGAGCCGAAAACTTTAGGAAACCCATTGGAAAAACCAAAAAAAAAAAAAAACAAATTTCCACAGAGAGTGCTGGGATTCCCTTTGGACGTGTCCCTTCGGACGGGTGTTCCCTGGAATCTGTTTTTTTTGTTTTTTTTTTGTTTTTCCAATGGGTTTCCTAAAGTTTTCGCCTCCAGCACTTCAGTTTCTTTGGTTTTTTTGGTTTTTCCAATGGTTTTCCCAAAGTTATGGCACTCCTTCAGAAAAGGGGGAGAGGGGGAGGAGGCGGATGAGGACGAGGAGGAGGAGGAAGAGGAGGATGATCGGGAAGAGGATGAGGAGGAAGACGGAGAAGGATGAGGAGGAAGAGGAATGCGCGACGAACGAAAACACACAGAAGAGAGAGCGAGAGAGAGAGAGAGAGAGTGAAGGAGGAATGAGGAGGAGGAGGGAGGAGGTGACAGAGAGGCTTAGGAGGAGGAAGAGGGAGGAGGTGAGAGCGAGGCTTTCTGCATAAAATCTGTAAATCGCAGGGGTCCGAAACCGAACTGGAACCCGAAGATTTTGCACGATCCGGGCCGCTTCTTCGCCTCTGGACGCATCCAGGGGCCTCCAGGGACCCCTGGGGATCATGATCCAAGGAAGCACTGCGACTTGCAAATGGGAAGTGGGCCTCTTCCGCCTCCTCCTCCTCCTCCTCCTCCTCTTCCTGCTCCTTCTCCTCCTTCTCCTCTTCGTCATCATCATCACCATCATCATCATCATCATCATCATCATCATCATCATCATCATCATCATCACCATCATCATCATCATCATCATCAGCAGCATCACCGTCAACATCATCATCATCAACATCATCCTCACCATCGTCGTCATCGGATCCGTCTTCATAATCACCATTCTCATCAGCATCATCATCATCATCGTCATCACCACCACCATCATCAGCAGCATCGGCATCATCACCACCACCGTCATTATCATCACCGCCACCACCACCAACGCCACCACCACCACCACCACCATCATCATCATCATCAGCAGCATTAGCATCACCGTCAACATCATCAGCAGTATCGTCACCATCATCACCAACATTATATCAGTCATTTTAATCACCGTCATCATCATCTTCATCATCAGCATCATCATCATCATCATCATCATCGTCATCACCACCACCATCATCCACAACAACAACGTCGGCATCATCACCACCGTCATCTTCACCACCACCACCGCCACCACCACCACCACCATCACCATCATCATCAGCATCATCGTTATCATCATCATCGTCATCATCAGCCCCACCATCATCATCAACATCATGATCGGCATCACCACACTTACCGTCGTAATCTTTATCACCGTCGTCATCATCATAATCAGCATCATCAGCATGCTCATCGTCTTCAAATTATGAGCAACAGCGTAACTTTTCCAGTGGCTCTCCTATTGCTCTTTTACATCCATGATCGGCAAGGGCTGAGGGGAAAGGGGAGTCAAGTGAATTAGGGGTAGCGAAGCCTGCCCCACCATTCGCCGCCCGGATCCTCATCTGGGCGGGCAGCGGGCCAATGCTTTGACAGGTGCAGTCCCTTAGGCCACGGGAATTTGCTACTTAGAATATGACTCCTCTGCCGCTTTCATATATAATATAAAACACAGATACACACTAGAAACATTCGCGCGCGCGCTCCGCGCGCGCTCTGTTCCTAGGTCGCTCCAAGCGTTGGGAAGTCCAAACTTGATTACGTTTGATTCCTCACTTTCCTACTGGTCGGCTTACTTCACTCAGCATGTCGTGGCTATCGTCTCCCAGCTTGCTTACCGTTGCCTTCTCCTGCGTTATGTTGTTTTCTGAGCCTTCGTGCACATTATGGTCTCCTTGTCCCTAATTCGTTTCTCTCCCTCGTGTTCTGTTGTTCCTGCCTCACCCTTGCCTTTGGTCTCTCCGCCTCCCTCTCATTTTCGTCCTTGTGCGGGCGGGCGCAGACATAGTACGTGGCCGCTCCCTGTCGATCCTGTTTCAATCTTCTTGAACGGCGACACAACCTGCCCAAATGAGACGCACAGATGCACCCGTTGGCGGCCATAATACAATTGTCTTCGCACGCCTGGCATGGACAGTGCACAGTGCGTCCACAGCCTATCGCGAAACGACATGACTGACAAACTATTCTCTCCTGCTTCAGTCGGCGCCGCACAAATCCACTGCGGGGTGTGCGGCCAAAGTCCTTCCAGTACTGCGGGGGAGCACAGGAGAATGAGCCCCGCCAGAAAGGTTCGGTCCCAAGTACTTGAGGGGAGAAGGAGAATGGAGGGAGGATGGGAGGGAGGCGGAGGGATGGAGATAGGGAGGAGGAGAATGAGGAAATGAAGGAGGAGAAGGAGGAGGAACGTCAGGCTGGGGACAATCGGGCTCTTGGGGGAGCAAAAGCAATATCAATGGGATGACACCGTGGGGAATCCACCAGCGTGAAACTGCTGGAGAAAGAGTACGCCTTCGGACGAAAACGGAAGAGCAACACGCCGACAGGCTGGCAACGGCGGCGTGTCATTGATACTGTTTCGCACGGATCGCACGGCACCTCCCGAGTAGACCTCCCTCACGAGCACCGGATCGCACGGCATCGCCAACGCATCGGCGATGCGGCCGGCGCGACTCCCCGACCCCATCTGACCTGGCCCCATCTGGGCGTCAAAAACCATAAGGGGGAGGGAAGGAGGAGAAGGAGGAGGAGAAGGAGGGAGGAGCAGGAGCAGGAGGAGGAGGAGGAGGAATCCGAATCGGAATCGGAACAATCGCGAAGAGATATCAAATACTACATCCCTTCTCTCTCAGAACTCCCCGAGCGCCGAGACGGGCCAGGAGCCGAAGAAAACGAAACAGATGTAGGACATTCAAGGATGACGTCATTGCCGCCGCAGCTCATCGTGCCACATGGCAAAATCGATGACCCAAGAACCGCATAGCAGAGGCCACGAAACGAGATATGCCAAGCAACACTTTCTGCCGTATCAAGGTTCCTTGCACAAGCGTCAAACCGACACAACCATACGCATGCGAATCAACTTTGCTTGCACTTGCCCGTGGTGGGCGCGGCCGCACGCGGAGCAAACGGCGGGCCCGCTGCTGCAGCCATCTCGGCCGTGGCCACCCGGAAGTCCTGGAGCATGGCCCCCACGTCCAGCGGCGCAGCGGGTGGCAGTGTCAAAGGGGGCCGAGCAAAGAACGACAGAGGCCGATCGGCACCGCCGATGGCACCGACACCGCGCATGAGCCGCGCCCGCTCGGCACTGGCGTACCAACCTGCTGCCGCGCGCGGCTCCTGCGCCCCCGTGGCCTCGCCGACCGGCCCCGCAGCAGCTCGCTCCTCAAGACGAGCTCGCCGACGGACGAAAGGCTGCGGCCTCCGACCCGCGGCGCGAGCGGCGCCCGCGGCCGCGAAGCGCAACAGCTCCTCCCGACGCTCCAGGATGCAGTGCGCGTCGGACTCGGCGTCGGGCTCCGCGCCGACGACGTTGCTCCGCAGGCACCTGTGCTCGGCCGCCGCCGCCGGCCGCGCGCCACCCTCCGAGCCTTCAGCTGCGGAGGGGGGCACCACATCAGCTGGAAACTGCGCCCTCGGCGCGTCGAGCTCGGCGTCGGGCCCGACCGGAAACCTCCACAACAGCGCCAGCGGAAACGCGACGCCGTGCTCTGGCAGCATAACTTCCCGGCGACCCGCAACTGGGACGAAGACGGCCGCCTCCGCGCGCATCCGCGCGGGAGTGCCCAGGCTGAAGCTCGGTTCCACGACTTCGCCCCACGGCACGTGACGGGCCCTGTCGCCCGCCGCCTTGACGGCCATGCCCTGCAGCAGCTCCGCGTTGGGCACGTTCACGAGGCCCGCGAACTCCCTCAAGGCAGCCCCACGCCCGTGCCTGTGGTGCTCCAGGCGCTCATTGAGGCGGCGGTGCAAAAGCAGCGCCCTCCCCAAGGCCTCCAGACGCGCTCTCATGTCCCGGAGGAGGTCGCTGTCGAGGTCGAGATTGTGGACTGCCACGTAGACCGCACTAGACACCAGATGAGCGTCCTCCTTCTGAGCTCGCTCGCGTCGCAGCCACCGAGCCAAATTGCTAGCAGGTTTCCTCGCCCAGGCCTTGGCTGGATTCTCCTTGACAGACTCAAGCTCGGGCCAACGGCCCCGCATGTCTCCCGTAGCCAACATCCTCAAAAAGGCACAAACAACACAACGGAAGCCTCCTGTTGCACTGGTCGTGAAGTATCCTCTTGCCGGCTCGAGCAATGGAGCTGTCGCACGCTGTTTTGCGGCTTGGGCCAAAATGGCTACGGAGGAGGAGGAGGAGGAAGAAGAAGAAGAAGAAAAAAAGGAAGAAGGCGAAGAGAAGGGGGAGGAGGAGGAGGAGGAGGAGGAGGAGGAGGAGAAGGAGGAGGAGGAGGAGGAGGAGGAGAAGGAGGAGGAGGAGGAGGAGGAGCAGGAGGAGGAGGAGGAGGGAGGAGGAGGAGGAGGAGCAGGAGGAGGGAGGAGGAGGGAGGAAGATGAGGAGTAGGAAGAGGGGGGGAGGAGGAAGAAGAGGGAGGAGAAGGAGAAGGAGGAGGAGGAGGAGGAGGAGAAGGAAGAGGGAGAAGGCAAGGAGGACGAAGGAGGAGGAGGAGGAGGAGGAGGAGGAGGAGGGAGGAGGGATGAGGAGGAACAGGAGGAGGGAGAAGAAGGAGGAGGGAGGGAGGGAGGGAGGGGAGGGGAAGGAGGAGGAGGAGGAGAAGGAGGAGGAGGAGGAGGAAAATAAACCTAAGACGCATCAGCGATGCTGCAATAAACCGTGCCGCCAAGTTTCCTCATCCTAAGTCACTACGACAACGTACCTCCCACATCCTAAGTGGGGCTGTTGTTCTCTCTGGGAACCCCGAGCAGTCTTCCCTACCTCACATGACCCCACTCTCCTCCTCTCTCCTTCCAAACTAACCATCACCACTCACTATTTCCATCACACCACGATCGTCACCACTATCACCGTCCCTGCATTATCATCGATCAGGATCATCATCGTGATAATCGCACTAACTCGCGCACGCACAGATTCCCCACATCCACACACATATCTACACACACGTGCACACACTCACACAGCCCGCACTCACTCGCACACTCGCATGTTCATGCGCACACTTACAATCATCTTGGGGAGGTCTCGAGCGGGAGCCTCGTCTGTCAGTGGAGAGCGAGGACGTCTCGAGCGGCAGCCCTCTACCGATGGGGTCCCCGCCCGATGTGAGTAATCCGAGTGGGTTCTCAGCCTACTGTAGCAACCATAGCACTTGAGCGCCCCAAGGGGGCAAATCGTGGGTAAGTCTCGAGCGCGAGCCTCGTCTGTCAGTGAATAGCGAGGAAGTCTCGAGCGGCAGCCCCTCCCTATGGGGTCCCCACCTCATGTTGGTAATCCGAGCGGGTCATCGGTCTACTGTTGCAGGCACAACACTTGAGTACCCCAAGGGGAAAAATGGTGAGGAAGCTTCGAGCGGGAACCTCGTCTGTCAGTGGATAGCGAGGACGTCTCGAGCGGGAACCCTCTCCCCTAGGGGGGCCCCCCGCATGTAAGTAATCCGACAGACTCGTTGGCTCACTGTAGAAGGCCTAACACTTGAGCACTCCAAGAGCGTTGATGGTGGTAAAGTCTCCAGCGGGAGCAGGGGGCGCACAGGTTACCCTCACAGGTCCCGCAAGTCCAACAGGCCGAACAAAACTCACAGCGCCCACAGTTCCCACAGATCGCACAAGTACTACAGGCCTCACGCGGCCCACCTGCCCAAAGGCCGCACACGTCACACAGGTCTCACAGGACTCACGGGTCTCATGAGTCGCACAAGTTGCACCGGTCACCAGGTCGTGCAGGTCCTACAGGTCCAGAAGGTGCCACAGGCCCCCTAGATCCCACAGGGGGGGGCTAGGTGTACTTCAGGAACAACCGAACTGGAGTTGGAACCTGGATATACATCAAAAAACAAGACATTCGTTGTAGCAGCTCCCATACATCAGAATATCAATGAAGATCAGGATGAGGAGGCACGGGTAGCTAGCTTCCAACATCAAAACAAGATCAAGATCAGGTGTCAAAGACAGCATTCAAGCACAACTCACAGCAAGAAAACATAGCTCAACCCACAAGCCCACCTCCGACACAAGTCTGATTTTGACTCCGCATCCCAAGTCCAGTAGATACATAGTACACGCCGATTCGGACCTGCATCACCATAACCTCGGATCTTCGCTCAGCCACACGGTGGGCAGACAGGGTAATCCATCCAAAACTCGAGGTAACCCGAGGTTGACTGGTCCACCAAGACTCTATTCTCCTTTCTTTAAAACATAAACTCTACCCCCACCCGGCGTTATCGCTCCCCCTTTCGTGTATGTAAATCACACATGATTCTGACCACATGTCCATCCTAAATCTGAAATCACAATGTCCCAGGCCAGCCGGTATCCCCCCCTGAGGTTCCCTTGAAAAAAACACTATGCGGTGACATGTTTTGTTCTAACATAGCACTTTTTCACGAATCCCGTGCAAAAAACGGGACGAGGTGCACACGCGCGCGTCGTCGCGCGCGCATGCCGAAATCCTTCAAAAACCTTCGGTGCCGGAAGGATTTCGCAATCGAGTCTCCAAAAAACATACAAAAACACAGGGGTTTCGTAACACTGACTTGCTAAAAAAGCTTACGCGCGAGCTCTTGCGAAATCTTGAGAAAACCCATCGGTTTTCAAGATTTCGCAACATGCTACCAAACGGGCGTCGCGCGCGCATGTCGAAAGCAACAAATGGGACGAAGTGCAAACGCACGCGTCGTCGCGCGCGTGCGCCGAAATCCTTCAAAACCCATCGGTTTCGGAAGGATGTCAAAATCGCGCGTCCAAAAAAAACACAAAAACACAAGGTTTCGCAACACGGATTTTCAACAAAAGCGTGCGCGCGCGCTCTTGCGGCGTCGTCGTCGTCGTCGTCGTCGTCGTCGTCGTCGTCGTCGCCGTCCTCCCTCCTCCCGCGCCGTCGTCGTCGTCGTCGCCTACGTCGTCCTGTGTCTTTCCTCGTGTTCGTCGTCGTCGTCCTCTTTGGCGTCGTGGTCGTTTCCGTCGTCGTTGTCGCCGTGGTCGTCCTTCCTCCTCCTCCCTCGTCGTCGTTGTCGTCGTCCGTCGTCGGCGTCTCCCTCGTCGTTGTCGTCGTCGGCGTCGCCGTCCTTCCTCCTTCTTCGTCGTTCGCGTCGTCGCCGTCCTCCCTCCTCCCTCGTTGTCGTCGTTGTCGTCGGTGTCGTCGTTGTCGCCGTCGTCGTCCTCCCTCCTCCCTCGTCGTCGTCTTCGCTGGCGGCGTCGTCGTCGTCTTCGTCGTCGTCGTCGGCGTCGGCGTCATTATCTTCAACGTCGTCGACGTCGGCGTCGTCGTCGTCGCCGCCGTCGTCGTCGTCGTCGTCGGCCGTCTTGCTTCTCCGGCCTTCTCGGGGCGCTCTTGAGACGCCCCCGAGGGCCCCAAGACGACCCCGGAGCAATATCTGTGTTCGGTCCCGCATGGGTTTTGCAAACCAAGTTGCGGGTGGGTGGGTGAGATGATTGCGCGAGCAATGGAGTTGACAACTTCAAGTTCGGCAAGTGATTGGCCACACCATAGAAGGTACTGAGCTGTCGTCTCAAATCTGC